CCCCCCCCCCCCCCCCCTTTCTCCTCCTCACTGCACTTCCTCCATCTCCATCTCCGCTTCATGTGCAATTACTTTTACAAAAACCATATTGTGCTTTTACCAAGTCTTTTTAAACAGTCTTAATTTTTTGTGTGCGTGTGTGTGTGTGTGTTTGTGTGTGTGTGTGTGGGGCTCGTGCATTCTACACTGTACAGCGTCTGTATGTGTGTGAGTGCGAGAGAGGGACGGGTCAGAGGGGGGGGGTGGATTAATGCGAGCCTGTGTGTCTACGGGGGCCATGTCACTACCAGGTGCCTGGTTTGTTGGTGAGCAAAAAGCGTGTTTTCATTTCCTTCTCTCTCCCCACCCCGACTGAATAGTGTTTGTGTGGCCAGCAGGAGACTGGCCGCGACACCGGGGACTGCCCCTCTCAGCCTACAGCACTTGGAACAAACGATGAATTCCAGTCACACCGCTGGTTGAGCGTTTGTGAACAATGGTAAGGTTATGTGGAGTACGGCGAACTGGCGGTGCACGGCTGCGCAAACACAAAAGCCGTCCTAAGGCTCACCAAAAAAAAAAAGGAAAAACACATCCACCGAGATAATGTCATTTCTGGCATCTTCGCTGTCTTTTAGTCACACTTTGTTTGTTTGTCACTTGTTTGTTTGTTTTCTTTTTTTTACGTTGCTGTTTTAAATGATAGTAAGAAAATCTGATCATGTATTTGTTTTTTTTTCAAAAAGTGCTGTCATATCAAACACAAACTTCCTATCATGAAGGCTTTGTTTTTTTCATAACTTATGTTCTTGGGCATTGTCTTTGATAACCACAGATCGAATAAACTCGAGAAACCAACACATCTTTTCCCTGCAGTCTGGTCCTGTTTACTGAAGGAGTCTCTTAACTAACTACCTGCTTATGCAATCAGCTACATCCCAAACGGAGAAAATCACAGAGCTTCTAAAGGGCATCCATCAATTTTTGAAGAGTAAAAGTCATTACCTAAAGTATATCTCTTGATATCGCCATAAAAACTGATGCGATTTAAGTGTCTAAGGATTGAAGCTAATCACAAACATCAAAAAGTAGGTGACGTTTGTTTTATAAATCATTCATTGCAAGACGGAATTAATATCCGCATCATTTCAAAGCAGAAACGTTTCAATCCGTCATTGATTTACATTTCAAACTGAGGACCTTGGATCTGTGCCCTCAACAGAGATGCGTGTCATTTAAAAATGGCTTGACAGCTACATATTTCTGCCTCGCGTACCAAACGTTGCACATTCAGGAAGACATTTTTGCCGCTACATCATTAAGGTGTCGCTTGTCTTCCTGCTCCTGTCTACTGTCCTGTTTCCTACTTTCCTGAACATCTCAATCGTTTACGATCTTGTTGCCGGTGCCTTGTTTATGGTCTCTTTCTCTGGAGCTTTGGGAGTTTTCATTTCAGATCCCTCTTTAATTTTGATGCTGATCTGCATGCTTGGTTGGACACCCGTAAGGAAAGGCGCGGCGCTTGTAAAAGAGATGCGTTGTGAGCAAGGAAGAATAATAGTTTCATAGCCCCCCCCTCTCCCAATTCATGCTCAACAACAATGTGCAACCAATTTCACCAACGACAAAGCATTCTCCACGCATTGACTAGTTCATTGAGCATCTCTTTTTCACAGAAAATACGGTCCCCTGGGGGCTTCAAACATGTGCATGCTAACTGTTGGGCACTTTAATTAAAATACACTCGCCGCTGTCACTGTGTCCTGTTAGTCGTTTAAGAGAGACGTTAGTTCAGTTAATTATTCTGTTAATTGGCCTCCGTTCCCAATAGAGTGAATTCTGGCCTTCATCAGACAGGTTTCCCTCTTTGTATCTGCGGTCTAATTGATGCGGCGTTTGTTGAGAGCACAGGGGCCTTTAGTTGGCCTCCCACGCAAAGTTGTGTCTTAAAACGGAAACTTTTTCAAGGACAGATGAATCGCTGAGCCTAATTTATGAGAAAGATGTACGTATTTTTTTCTCGTTTAAATGAAATCTACACCAATAGATATGTGAGAATAACTAACACTTGCTCATACAAATACTGCCAAAATAACTGTCATTCAGCTAAATTATTCTTTGAGCATTCCAGAAATCCTTCTGATATGAAATGAAACGCTCTTTTTATTACTTTCGAAACACTTTTCCAAGTGTGAAATTTTACACGTGGGAGTAGTGTAATTGCATGCTACAATAATTTGAACATGACTGTAGTTGTTTTCTATATTCAATAGTAGGAATGCTACATAACTTTCCCCTGTCGAGCTGTAGTTAATGTGTGTTCCGCTGAGCTGTACCACCACTCACTGGTGTTTGGAGAAAATGCTGCAACCTCCTAACATGCTGCTATTTAGCAGGTAATGTCTTCTCTTTAGTTCCAACACAAAGTATAACTTGGGTTGCTGAACATGTTAGCCTCCACCATGGCCACCCTTACTTACTATGGTTTCATTTAACCAGTAGTTTACCAGTAGTGACATATTTTAAAGGGATAAAGTATATGGAGAGACTGTGATAAGCCAAGCATGGGAGCCTGTTTTAATATAGCTAAATATCCTGTATGAGGCTTTGGCTGAACTTATCTTAAGGACTTCGGTACATTAAGCTTTGCCTTTAGTCACTTCACAGCCAATCCCATGAGTGACCAATTGTTCTGAACATGAGCATATCCTAACTGCTCTGAGATCACAGACCAAGACTTCAACGAGGCCTTGTAATTCCAATGGAATTCATATTATATAGAGATAAGTAGAAGCCGTATCAGCTTGTGGAAGTATAATCTTGTAAAGTCGAATTAGTTCTGTCTGACTCATTAAAATGGGGAAGAAAATGGAAATGATTATTGTAGTCCTGGCCAGTTTCCGATCATTACTGTGTTGGTGCAGCAGTGACATGGTCTGCCTTACGGTATCTGCATCTCATCAAAGCCAAGGAGAGGGATTTAAATAAGGACCTGTGAGATTTCCACAAGTCAATGAAAATTGTAAGTGTCAGTCTCCTTTCGGCCGAACTCAACTCGGCGATCGGCAGAAGTTGGGATTTTATTAGCTCAGTGTTTTAATCCCACCTGTTATCTCGACTCCCCCCTGTAAAACCTCCTTCTATTACGCTGAGTCTTGGCACAGAGCACGGAGCGAGACACACATCATCCCACAGAGGAAGGATCTTTGTTTGGCACACGCACAAAAACTTAACTGGGATGCTCGCGCCAAATCCCGTAAATCAGTAGTTCTTTTGGAGTGCTGACACAGCATTTCCTAACTGCTCACAACAATGCAGGACTCAATTGTGGCCTTGTGATTCCTGCGGCTCTTCTTCTACCACATATTATTCATAGGCTTCATCATAACGTTAGGCAGTACCAAGATTTAAGACAGAAGAAAGGACCAAGGCGCTGGATATGGAGACGTGAACGCTGATGCTATTGGTTAAAATGTTCTTTTGAATAACCGTTTACAGCAGATTTTCATGATTAGCTAATTCACACAAACCTTTTTCTGACAGAAATAGTCGTAGACAAGCTGAGTTTCACCCTCCGTGCATTTTGCATGCATTGTTTTAAAGGCTGGAGTCTCATTTATCCGAGTATATCTCAAGCTTTCATTCATTCCATAATGTATACATTCCGTAACAGTTCCACTTATTTCCCGGTGTTGCCCTGTGAGACTAATATCAGGTAACAGGTGATGTTAACTCTCGTTGTGTGCGGAGAACAGCGTGCCAATTTCCAGTCCGAAATATCAGCGGAGTAATTCAACGAGGAGTTGGCAGTTTCACGCAGAACACAGCTGGTCTGAGAGCCCACTGATGTCACAGATAATTGAGCTGCAGCCTCTCAACTCTCTGCAGCTTCCTTTGTTGTAAAACAGACAAAGCTCTTTGTATTAGCGGCTTTGATGAAGGCCAAGCGTGTTATTAGTGACGGTGTCATAATGATGACATATAAAAACCTAATCGCAAGATATGTTGTGAAATGGTGTATTAAAAGATAATTGTGAGTTATCAAGAGATTAGAGATTCCATCATGAAAACATTCATTAACTAAATCAATTTAACTGGGTAATTATTGAACATATATTCTTGTAATTATCAATAAACCATACAATGCCACGATTAAGTTCTTGGTATTTTCATATTGGAAATTATTCTTTGGAATATACCATTTTCTGTCAAAAGACTTCAAAAGATTGATAGAATTACTAGAAGCTACTGTATGAGTGGGATTTGGCAGAAAAGCAGCACTTATTGGCTCTGGACTTCAGGCTTTTAAGTGAAACTACCTTTTAAAGGAGAGACAGTTTTGTAGTGGAAATCAGTGCAAGAGCACTTCTCAGCATTTCTGCCAGTGAGCCCAAAAAAGCAAGTGGAAAAAGCCACTATGCAAAGAACAGAGCTAGGCTTGGGTGAAAGGGAATATTGGCCTTTGGTGTGATGAATTCTAGATGCCAGGAAGAGCCATCTGATTTGTTGTAAGTGCTTTTTTTAAAATGATGCTAAGGGGGAACATGAGTTCAAATACCACTGGTAGCTTGTAGCATGTTGATGGAGGCCATCAACACCACCATTAAGATAGAACAAAACACTGGATCAGC